GTTGACATATCAACATTTTAAAGCATTGTTTTGCAACAAACATTTCCATGATAATTTTGTTTAAAAGAAGCTAGTTCCGAAACTAAAATCCTAGTGAGATGGCACAAATGAGGCTGGGCCAGGACAGCTGCTTCTTGAACAAGTTGATCTTTTCTGTAGTTCCTGGGCTCCTGGCAGGAACCATGTTAAGATTCTGCATTCCTTGCTTCTTCCATAATTCAAAGCCAGGTACTAAAACTTTGTTTGACCTTCATTTCAGCATCAAGAAAGTCAAAGTGGAAAGAATCACAGCCTTTTGGTAGTTTCTGGGCCTACAAGAAGTTTCTAAATCCAAGAGGATCTGTGCTGGCAACATGGCAACTCAGGCGGGCCGAGATGGCAGGTCATCTCTGATCTCTAGGTAGTGCTTTGTTAGGAATGAACACAGTCACGTTTATAGTCCGTGTGTCCATCACTATTCAAGGATAATTCTCCCTCCCCTGTTTATTTTTGATTGTTTACTTTTTTACACTGAATTTCTATTAAGACACTAAGACATATGGGGTGTTTGTTCCCTTTGGATGCATTTCTATGTCGCTCAGTTATTCGGATGTGAAAGCTGGGTTCCTAACTTACTCCCGTAAGTGGAGTGTGCTAAACACATACCAGTTTACAGGCAAGGTGTGTTTTGTATATAGTGGATTGTACATAGACCTTTTACCACAGAGTTTTTTAAACAAATGAGTTCTGTAAAGCTTTCTTCTACGTGAGCTTACTATTAGGTTGGTGTGTAGTTACTCGTACTGTTGGAAATAGTCTGTTCACACAGCTTTCAGGAAAAGTGTGTAAAACCTACAACATATCCTTCCTTTTGGATTTTCATCTGTTTGTCAATCAGCTGTCACATTTGAAAACAAAATGTAAAAGCAATCACAGAGAAACCTGTTGTACCTCTTGAAAATTCAAACATAGATCTTGAGAGAAAGAAATGCTGTTTATCAGAAAGTGGAGTTATTTTAACAGATGCCAATTACAGTGTACACTTCAGTCTTATGATTTCTGTGGTTCAGCATCAATCAGAGTGACATCTGATTACTAGTGAAGATTCTAAAATGAAACACAGATGGTCCTGTCATGATTCCTAGATTTGGTATCCAACATGAATGAAGCCTTTGAGTTTTGTTCTTAAAAATACATGAAGGCTCAAAGTCAGTGTCTGCTTGCTGTGGATTATCCATGTTGGATTTGACCTTTTCAGAAGTAATCAGCAATGAAAAACTGGTCAAATTCAAGTTAGCATTTATGTCATGCCGCTCGAGATGTAGCTTTTTACCAGGTCTTTTTATGTGCAGATACAGTCCTGATTCATTTCAATAAAAAGCGTGGAAAATATGGTCTGTGTGTTGCTTCCCTGAGTAGGTCCAGAGACTGGTCAATTCTAGATGAAATTTGGACTTGTATTTTATATATATATATATATATATATATTCTCCTGATGTAGTGTCCACAGTACGAAGCTAATACAAAGCCAGTGTCAACATCCGCCTTTAAGTCAGCTGTCTTTTAGATGCTCAGTTTTTCAGAGCTGAAGTCACCATTTCTTAGGAAACAGTCTAGGTCACAATGTACATACTCAAACACCCTCCACAGACAAACACTCCTTTCTCAGATGAACTTCTATGCATACATGTGCAAAAGCGAATTTTTATAAAGCTGTGTGAGAGGCCTGCGAGTTGGACAAATTAGGCCATATTGTAGATAATTATTTTAAAGGAAGTCACTCCTTAGTTTATTTTCTGCAAACCTAATTTTCATATCCTATACTTTAAAAAAATTCCAAATATTTAAGCCAACTGAATTTAATACTCCATAACTTAACTCTGGCAACTTTTATCTTTATTTTTTAGTATCTCCCAAACACATATGTGGTGGGATATAGTTTTAAAAGTCCCTTATTTTCCTCAGCCCTACAGAACACTCTCACAGAAGCGCAACACATTTTCTTCTTTCTCATCCTCCTTGCAAATACTTTCCTTGTTAGAATTCCCTATACATCTTCAATCTCCATTTTCTCAGCTGTTGATTTCATCCCCACACCTCCTTTGAATGTGACTTGACCTTTAACCTTCTGAGGCTCCTGAAGGGACCCTCTCCTGAGTCTTCCTGCCTTGACTACCTTCTCACCATCTCCCTACACTCGTCTTCTGTCTTGTCCTTAAATTTAGTTGGCATTCTAGGATTCTGTCCTGACCCACCCTTGCATTCTTTGTGGACAATTTTATTCAACACATATGCCCACTGCATGTTGAAATGAGCAGTTTTTTCCTGTGAAGGGGCAGACAGTAAATGTGTTAGGCTTTTAGAGTTACATATCCAGCTCCATTGTAACAGACAATGGAGCGAATGAGTGGACCCAGCTGTGTTCTAAAATTTGTTACAAAAACAGGTCACGTGGGCCAAATTCACTGACCCTTATCTCAAACTATTGCCCTTTCCTGCACACCTGGCTCCTGCCACTCCTTGCCCTATCTTGAATTGCTCCATCTTCACTGTATCCCCTGAGCTCTTGGCCATGTCTGCTTTCTCTCTCTCTCCCATTCTTGGTCACTAGGACCTCCTCTCGGTCCCCTTAGTAGCTACCTTCTTACAGATTGGTTAGTGTGGCATCTTACCTTTTTTGGGCTTCTAGCCCTTTGAATTTTGACTGGACTTAGGGAGGTCTGTGTGGAGACTACATTTCCCAGCCTCCCTTGCAGTTAGGTTGGGTTAGTGTTTGGGATTTGATTGTTGGCAAGTTAACAAAGTACCTACTCAGACAATGCTGCTTTTCCTGAACCTGTTCTCCTGGAAATGGTCATGACACACCTTGGAATCCAAGGGTTAAGTTTGAAGAGCTGGTTGGCATGAACTTGGAAGACCAGTTCCACCCTCTCTCGGCAATGCAGTTGGATAAACCTACATGCACATCTGATCATATCACTCCCCACTTAATGATGGACAAGCAAGTAAGAACAGAAATCTTTGCTTTTAAGAGGATTAAAGCAGGATGAGGTGACAGAGCAAAGGAAGAGCTCCTTCGCATTGAAAGTCAGGGAAGGCTGTTATTGCGGAGGTGGGAAGGAGCCAGGCATGCAATCATCAGAGAAAACAGGTTTCCAGGCAGGGGGCACAGAGTCAAAGGCCAATAGACTTTGTCTTGCTCCAAGAAGCAACAGGATGAAATTGGTCTTGTTAGGGACTTGGAAAAGGCTGACCATAATCTCAGGGAAGCTGGATGGGGTCAGACAAGTGGTTCTTTGCCCAAGACAATGCTATGGGGAAGTCAAGCTGAATACTTGACCTCCTGTGGCTGTGAGGTAGAGCCTGGCTTGTAGCAACCCAGGGTCTCCTAGATGTGAAGCAAGCAAAAGCAAACCTCTGGCTTCAGAATTGGCAAAGGGTTGTGTGTGTGAGTGGGTGCTGGGGCCGTGGCACACCACCGTAGGTCTCCTTTCTAGTCTGCCTCTTGCCACTGCCTCCTTGCTCTTGGCATTCCCCTAGTTCATAAACTACACTCCAAAGACACACTTCTTTGCAGCCATTGCTCTTAAGATCCTGCACTCTACCCCTTCCTAACCTGGTGAGTTGTCTGACTTGTCTGTTTTGCACTACTTCTTGGGAACTTTTCCTTGCTCCCTACCAGGATAGGGTCATGATGCTCTCTTTCAAGAGACCTGTGACAACACTGAGCACAAGTCCCTGAGTTCCACTCGGCTTTAGTTCCAGTCCCACTGTCTTCTCAGGACTCAGGCTACCTTGGTGGAAGGAGGCAATGTGAGGTGCCAACAACCACATGTAGATTTGCTGAAATTCAGTCACTTAAATCCAGACTGGTCACCTGGTTCTTGCCAACCCTAGCCCTCTCACTAACAGTAAATTGCCACTTTAAGTGCATCCTACAGACTCCTCTAAAAGCATCATGGAGAATGATTGTGCCAAAATATGACTCAATACAGAATCAAAAGTTACTTTCAATTTCTTTTGCTCTTTTTTTTAGAACAGTAACAATATTTTAAATCACTTTTTCTGTGACACAGTTGAAATTCAGTGTTATTTCAATTGAATTTAGACTCCCTGATCTGAAATAGATTTTAAGGCACAGTTTAAACAATATTTGGCATATTTGTAAGTCATCTTTCATTTGGTGCTGACCACTGCAGTGTGAAGATGGCAGGATGTCTCCATGAATCAAGCCAGATGACACTTAGTTCTTTAGGTATGGTGCTGTCTGTTTCACCTCATGTACACAAACAAACTTAAATACAGTTCTTTTTCTTTATTTTACTTTTTTTTTTCTTAATCTAAGAGTCTTTGTTGCATTTGCTAGACTATCTCAAAAGCTTGGACTCAGAAGACTCCAGCATCGTATGGATTAACTAAACCCATGGGCCCCAAGATGAAAACCCAAGAGATAGGAGGGAACCCCAAGACAGCCCCAGCCTCCAAGGAGTAAACCTCTCCAGAACTCCTTTGCTACACGTTGGCATATCTCAACTGTTGAAAAGAAGTTTGTTTGTACACAAGAGCCAATCATAGAGCAAGCTCCCTCTGGTTGGAAAAATATCAAGCCCTCAGCTCCAAACCTGTATGTAGTGCCTTGAGTATAGCACAGGTACAGCTGTGGCAGTTTCATTTTTGCAGTGATGTGGGCTGAACCTGTGTCTGGCACATGCTTGGTAAATGTTCAACTCCTGGGCCACACCTCCAGGCCTGTGACAATTTCCAACACACTCAGGAAAACTGTTCCCTGTGCTTTGATGGCAGGTCCTGGTGGCTACCCCACTCTAGGCAAATCTTAATGTCCCTACTGTCTGTGTGTTCTTTTGCTGTAGAATACCCCACCCACCCCATGTCATTTAAAGAGTGACATGGGTCCTCTTAAAGAGCACTTGGGTCCTCTCCTTGTGCAGGGTTCCAGGCAGTTTATTGGAGCATGTGTCCTGCTGGGGACTTTTGGTAGACGCAGAGGCAGAAACAGAAGCATGGGGGAGAGATTCCATTTCCTTACTCAAGGGCGAGAGTCCTGCTTCATACACAGCAGCAGCTTAGGGCAAGGCATGGAGAAGTCTAGCTCTGCCTACTGCTGGCACCTAGGCCAGGTATGCTTGTGTGAGTAGAGGGGGCAGCCTTGTATGTTCAGGGCCTTTGCTGCCAACCCTAGACACCCTACTGGAGTCAAGCCCTGCAGGAGCCATGGCAGCTTAGCCATGTGTGCCGGGGGGGTTCTTGCCTGAGACCATCCATGTACCTGAATGCTGGGCCCTGGGTGCACATACAGCAGGTGCTTCCAACCTCAAGGGCAACCAATCAGCATCCCCAGCCAGCCAAAGCTGAGAAGTCATCTTCAAGGCCCAGGGCTCCTGCAATACAAATGAAAGCAACACAGCTGAGAAGGGCCTCCATGAAATAGCTAGGCAAAGCCAAACCCACCACCCAACCCAAGTCAATTTTACCCAGGCCAGGCACAGGTTCAAAGGAAGAGAAGACAGCCTGGGAACACTGAAGGCCACCCCTCCACGTATGTGGCTATCTCCTTAACCTCTTCTGGGGCAAAAGGTGAAAGAGCCTCCTACAGATAACTTACCCGTCTTTACTGGTTAATGGGTCACTCAGCCCTTTATTATCCCTGTGACCAGTAAGGATTTAGGGATGAGTTTGAGGATTTCCATTCTTGAGTAGAGTGGATGAGGTAGGTTAGGAAGTCAACAGAGATGGTAACCCTGGTGAAATGCAAGACCCATCCAGGAAACTAAATGCTGATTCCCAGGTCCCCCAGCAGCCCATTTAATAAGTGTCGCCACAGTGGGGGCCCAGGAATGTGTATTTTTTAAAAATCTCTTCCAATGATCAGAATGCAGCCAAGGCTGAGAATCTTGTGCAATGAGACCAACGCCATGTTTCACGCACAAAATCTTTAGAATCCTAGTTGAAGATTGTCCCAAAGAACCAAGTCTTTGGTGCAGCTATTTGTGGCCAGGGTGAGAGAAGCAAGTGGTGACCTCTGGGCGAGCTGCTGCTGCAGTTGGGTGTGTGTTTTGCATACTTTTTGTTGCTTCTGGACTTCATAGTCCAGGTGTCCAGTGCAAGAGCTGAGGATCAGGAAGATTTGAGACCCACCTCTTAGAGCTAACAGAAATGAGGAAAAGGTTTTCTGAAGCATGGGTAAGGAGACACCTCTCTCAGGTGCCTAGAGAGCTGCAGAGCTGTTGTGTGGTGACACAGAGGTCACCTGGCCCCTCTCGTTCTCAGTTTCCTCTCCTATGGCAGAGCTGGGAGCAGGATCCAATGCAGGAGGAAGGCTCAGATCCAAGTGTTTGAAGCCTTCCCCACACTTCTCAAAATCTTCAGTCATTTTATTCACTACAGAAGAGAAGATGAAATTAATAATAACACACCTTATCAACTCCAAATATTGCTTTCCAGACCAGACTTTTTTTCTGGTAAGAATAAGGTCCACTACTGACTTCTCTCCTCAGATGAGACATGTTCCATTAGTTTTACACACCAGAAAGAATCAATTTGCCTGGAATTCTAGGCTCATTCATGGACCTTGAGTTTACAAAATGATTTTCCAAGGTTTTTTTTATATCATCTACGAAAGAAAAATAAAGAATCCCTGATAAGTATTACTTTGGTATATTGTGTAACAAATGTGCCTTTTTCTGACAGGACTGGGGCAGCAGGAAATGTCTGGTAATGTCAGAGCTGTTTGCTGGCAGAGTGGTTCAAATGGTAGAACGACTGCCTAGCAAGCATGAGACCCCAAGTTCAAATCCCAGTACTACCAGAAAAAAAAAAAAAAACATGAAATGACAAGCTGTTTTACTGTTTGCCACTCAGGTTTGTTGCAGTTTTCTGTTTGCATAATATTCCAATCTGTTCTAGAGCAACAAGAGCCCACTTTAGCCAGCAATAGCTAAGTACTACTGAGGAGAAATCCTTGTTTTATTTTTCCTTTTGAAAAGCAGTTGTAAAAAAATTTTGCCTTTGTTTATTTTTTTTTAAATGTGTTCTTGTGCCTTTGTTTAAATAATACACAAATAACATTAAAAAACTGTCAGGGCTTGGGGTATAGTTCAGTGGAAGACTGTCTAGCATGTGCAAAGTCCTGGGTTTGCTCCCCAGCACCTCATACACACACATGAAATCCAACACAATAGGAAAATACTACCCATAACGCCACCATCCAGAGACAAATGTCGACAATGAGGGGCATATCAGTATTTACACAAGCAGGCACAGAGTTTACAGATGGAAGCTAAAAGCCATTAAGCTTAAAGCAACGTCTAGAGACTGCACATAAGCAGCCTGAGACTCCTGTCTCAGCTTGCTGCAGCCACCATAGCAAAATAACCCAGGGTGGCTTTGGCAACAGCAATCTGTGTTCTCACTATCTTGGAGATCAAGGTGTGACCAGATTGATCTCCTCTGAGACCTCTTGGCTTTAGGTGGCCACCTTCTCCCTGTGCCCTCACTTGTTCTTTCCTCTGTGTGTCTGTGTCCCAATCTCCTTTTCTTATAAGGACACTTGGGATAACAAAACCAGTTTCACCCCAGTCTTGACCACCCCATCCTTAATCACCTTTTCAAGGCTCCATCACCAAACACAAGCTCATCGTAAGGCCCTGGAGGTGAGAGCTTCAACGTATGGCTTTTTGGGGGACACAATTCATCCCATAATAAATAATATGTCACCCTCCCACCACTTTTTAGAATGGCCTTTTCCTTGACAGAGAACAATCTTTCTTTCTTCCTTCCCTCCCTCCTTCCTTCCCTCTCATCTTCCTTCCTTCTCATCTTCCCTCCTTCCTTCCCCTTCCTTCCTTTCTTCCCCCTTCCTTCCTTCTTTCCTTCCTTCCTTCCTTCCTTTTTTTCATGATAGGGTCTCAAGACAGCCCAGGTCTGTTCGGGAATTTGTGATCCCCCTGCCTTAGCCTCTCCAGCACTGTGGTTACAGGTGTGTGCCACCAAGCCCAGCTGCTGTAACACTTTCTATCTGATGTTCTTGCCGTGAAGGTGTGGAGTTTCTAATTAGATCCAACCACACAATTTTGTTTAGAATTTTTGACAGCTTTATTGAGGCATGACTGATATAAAGAAACTACATGTTTAGTGTATGCGACATGATGAGTTTGTGAATATGCACATACAACTACACAAATTTTTAATCTGCAGTGCCTCCAAAGATTAGAAAAACACACTTCTAGGGGACTAAGGTGGAAAGGAGAAAAACAGAGGAGATGAACCAATTTGGATTTTAATACATATAAACGTGGAAATGTCACAAGGAAACTCCCTGTGTAGCTATCTTAAGCAAACAAAAATGTCAATATTTTTTCTTTTTTTTACAAAATTGGAATACAGGAAGGCAGAACTGGTCCTGTCTGGGGAGTTGGTACCAGTAATACGGGAGAATGTGTAGGACAGTGAACATGGTGCAAATATCATGTATACATGTATGTAAATGAAAAAATGAGACCTGTTGAAAGTATTCCAGGAATGGGGGAGAGGGAGGATAAAGGAGAATGAAGGAGGGGGTGAATTCAACTGTGATATATTTGGTATAAGAACTTCTGCATGTCATAGTGTACCCCTAGCACAACAATTAAAAGAGAAAAACACACTTCTAGGAGATTAAGGAGTTTAATTTAACACAGAACATGTAGAAGGAAGGCTTATTACTGGGTTGATAGCCAAGAGTGATAAACTGCACATCTTGAGAAGGTTTTTAGGTGGTGGGGACTGAGTTCAGGACCTCTAGGCGTATGTTGCACCAGTTGAGCTCTACCTCATTACTCTTTAGAAATGTGTCTTTATTGAGTCAAGCCTCCTATGAAAGTTTAAATTTTAACATGTTCTTCAATTTCCAATTTAGCCTTTCGAACAAGACATTGATTTGGTATATTTCATTGCCTGGGAACATGAATTTTAGTTAGAGAAAGTTCAGAAGCTATGTGAGAAAATAAAGGAATGATTTTAGAAATATGACTGTAATCTTCTCAGTGAGCAATATGTTTCAGTATTATAAATATCAGTTAAGTCACTGTATTATTTTCCTAGGTATACTGTTATGAATTACATAAACTGCTTGACTTAAAACAACAGAAATGTATTCTCTCATGGTTACGAAGGAGGAAAGTCCCAAGTCGAGGTGTTATAAACTCAGTTCCTCTTGAATATCAGAAGAAGAATCTGTTCCATGCCTCTTTCCCAGTTTCTTAAAGTTACTGGCAATCCTTGATGTTTCTTGGCTTGTAGATGTATTATCTTAACAACTGCCCCATCTTCACAAGGAGTTTTCCTTTGTGTGTGTGTCCAGATTTCCCTTTTTTTTTTTTCTTTTTTGTGGTACTGGAGTTTGAACTCAGGGTCTTCACCTTGAGCCATTCTACCAGCCCTATTTTTGTGAAAGGCTTTTCGAGACAGGTACCCAGCTCCCTCTTCTTATAAGGACAATGACATTACTGGATTATGGCCCATTTTAATCAAGAATGACCTCTTCTTAATTTCATTAGATCTACAAATGCTCTATTTCCAAATTAAGTTATATTCACAGGTTCTGGGTAAATGTGAGTTTTGTGGAGACATGTTCAACCCAGAAAGTCACCCTATCATTGTAACAAATAGCCAAAATGATAGTGAAGTGTATTTGGAAGAGAACAGCCCTGTATACTCACAATTAAATTAAATTGACAAAGTCAGAAAGAACAAAAAATATTATTGGGTTTAAGCAAAAATGTGACTTACTCTCCTCCTAAACTTTTTTTTTTTAATCTAAGAACATTAGCAATCCACTACTGCATATTTAAGTCGTCCCTCTGTCTCACCTGTTGAGGCCCAGCCCCAGCCTCACAGTGAAGTCACCTTGGAGAACTTTATAAAATACCAATGCCTAAATTCTACCTCCCAGAGATTATGAGGTAATTGGTCGGGGATGGGGCCTGAGCATGTGATTTAAATTTCTCCTGATGATTTGCATGCTTCACTAAGGCTAAGAAACACTGCCCTTGATTACTTACATCAAATCTCCTTGAGAGGCCTTGAATTAGGAAGTTTTTAAAAGCCCTTGCAAAGAAAAGCCCTAGACCTGATGGCTTCACTGGTGAATTTCACCAAACACTTAAGGAAAAACTAAAACAACAGAGGAAAGAAAACTTCCAAGCTTCCAACTCTACATTTAGTAGAGACAAAAAACAGACATCTAGACCAATTGAACAGAATAAAGGGCTCAGAAAAAAAATCTTTGCACATCTGGTCAAATGATATTAACAAGGATGCAAGACCAGTCATTGGGTGAAAAGATGCTGTTTTTAACAAATGGCACAAGGACAACTGGTGTACCAAAGCAAAAGAATGAAGTCTGACTTTTCTAGCAAAATATACAAAATTGAATTTGAACTAAAATGGATCAACAACCTATGTGCAAGAACTAAAGCTATAGAACTCATAGAAGAAAACAGACCAAAAGCTTTGCCATTGAATTTGTCAGTGATTTCTTGAGTT